TACCTCTTAATGCGTAATACACCGTGCAGCAAGATCTCTTTGGCCGATTCCCGCGCGCCCGTCACAATACACAAAAACTTGGCACGGACGCACGAAAACTACTTCTTACCCTTCCCCAACGGTTAGAGTGGTAAGGAGATAGTGGGCGGAGGGCAATGGAGTTCTCCCTTCTGATTTAATGCAAAATTATCCGTCCCGTTTAGTCTTCGAAGTCAGCAGAGGGACGCTTTATACTTATTGCCACTGCAGAGGCATTTTTAATGCCATTTTAAAAACTCGAATTGCATATTCTATTAAAAATACATTCTTCAACAATCGATACTTATTGGGTTATACATAATTTCAGGTGTTATTTTACTTTGTTTTTGTTGAGTTGGTCTATATTATTTAGTATTCCGGGAGTTTCCAGTTAATATTTAAACCCTATTAACATAGCATTGTTATGAATAAATATGTATGGGAGAAAAACAGTTTGGAACAGTCTTGTCTCCATGGTGGATTTCCTAAAAGTTTGATTAGATTTGGTTAGTTCTCGGAAACCCCCTCAATTTTCCAATGCAATTTTTTTTATTTTAAATTATTTCGTATATTCCTAAGTTATTATTATTATACACCGAGCTAAATATCTTCCTTCCTCAAAACGCAAGTTTTTTTTTATTGTCTTTGTTATTTAGACTAAAATGCACATGGATAAGTTTGAGGTAGAGTTTGTAACTAATTACCATATATTATGTTGTATTCTATTCAGCAACGTCCCATCTACAATGACTGCAGTATTTCCTACTCCTTGGCCTTTATCAGAATTATTTATAAGGGCCACCGTCATCCTAAACATCCATTTGAACAAATCTCCAACCTCGAATACATCGGATATTATTATATCATTCTCAATCACAATCAGCCACCTCTTTTCTCCTACGTTTATTTTCATTACAGTATTTATTGCTTCAGATTCCGCTCTCTTTATGACACTCCCGAACCGTCTAAGTCTATTTTCTTTCATTTTTTCAAGTATCAAAACCACCTATGATAGACCTCTTATGTACTCGTTTTTTCTCCTTTAATCTCTCGTCATTTCACTCATCTGTCTAAGATATGTACATTTTTTTTTCTTTATCTTTAAACACTTTTTCTATCAAAATCTTCGTTCAATTTTCTAGTGTAGCATATTTTTTAAAGAAAATTGCATCTAATATTGTTGTATTGATGAGATTATTTTTTTAATTGCTTAGAATCATATTTCAGTAGCAATGATTTATCGTTACGTACTGATATAAATTTAAAAAATTCTGTGTACCCTTCCTAAATTTTTTCATAATTCGTTTCTGTTATTATCCTATTATATTACCATCTTCGTGTTTTCGTGGAGTTTGCTTTTTATTTGCCCGCAGAAAATATTATCGTAATTAATTAAAAACCGTACTGTATTATTCGTATATAATATTATAGGCTCATCGTCGTTAATTCGAAATTTAAATTAGAATAACCGCGTGAGAGAAAACAACATAATAATATAATATATACCACGCGTGTTTATCCGGTCGACTACCCGGCTTCCGGGGCGCCTTATAAAACACGCATTAATCATGATAATATTGTGATGTTTATTACCACACGGAGAGGACACCCACGCGGGTTAAACAAACCTAAAGATCATAATAATATGTAAAACGAAAATTAACTCCGCAGATATTATTTCTTTATTGTGTGTATTTTGACGGATTACTCCACGGGCGAGAAGAAACCCTAAAATACTGCACGGCATAGATTTGGAAAATATAAAAAAAAATTACTAAAACGAGTATACAAAAAAAAAAACCTGGCAACATCGCACGTAGCTGGGCCACTATTACAGGTGGAAAGTTGGAAAAGTAGTAAAAGGGGTAATTTAATGTATATCTGATAGACCGTTGCTAACGAAAAAACGATTCTGAGCGGTTTTCAGTGGACAGTGTTGCTTTGTCAACAATATTTATGTTACATTATGGTAAAATAATTACAGAGGCATTGAATATTTTCTTTTATAATACTTGTTTTAATACTGTACTTGTTTTCCTGATTTTCTTTGTTTCTCCCGGTTTTTCCCATTTATTGAGAAAACTCCTAAACCTAAACCAAGTCAAAAAAAAACCTCTTTAACGTACCTCTCCAGTCCGGTTTCTTTTCAGAAAACGTGCTGTACTTATCGGAGCAAGATTCCTGATAGAAAAGTTGTCCACAGAAAAAATAAATAAATAAAATAAACATCTTTGTAAAACCATAAGCTTTTTCGATCCACTCTATAAACTACTACATAACATTTTTATTTTGACCACTAAGTCACAAGAATTATTATTTATGGTTAGGCCTCGGAAGTTACAGGAGTTGTATATTTTTCTGTATGCACTGGATTTATAGCAGACCAAGCTAAAAATTATTTCTATACAATAGATATTTTAAAAATCGAGCATTTCAAATGCATGTTTTGCATATTTCATTAATTTTAAAGGAAAAGTGCATATCTCATAGATTTTCATTGATTTTTGCATATTTTTATGCATATTATGCAAATTTAATAGTTATTAAAAAAAAAAATGTTTTTTCTTTCTTCACCAATGTATTTTAAATAATATTGAATATAAAACTCAATATTATTTAACGTAGTTTTTTATTGTTTTTTCTTATCGTTTCAACGACAACAATGCGATTCGTGTTTAATCTTTATCTATTGTGTGCATATTAATAATGATATACATTTTTGAATAATAAACTTTGAATAATTATTTACATATTTTATAATTTTTTCGTGCATATTTGTATGCTTATGTTACCTTTTTTACCTCCTATAACTTCCGAGCACTATTTATGATGAACTTCGTATTGTGTTGTATCAAGCATTTTTGATAGTCCATAACAATATTTTATTTGCATAAAATCAAACAAAAACGAAAAATCTAAATTATCAAATACCCATAAATAGTTTAAAAATCACCAGAATGTTTTGAGAATTTTAAAAATATAACGTCCAAAAATGACCTATTCTGTGAAAATATCGGGTGTCTGATAATATCAGCTAGATAAAATTTAATTTCAGAAAAGATACTACACTAGGAAATTGAAGCAAGATAACTGGTGGAAAAATGTTTACATACAGAAAACAAATATAAAATGCACACAACATCGTCCATCATACTAAAACCAATACATTTCTGGTTGTGCTCAAAATCTAAAAATGAATCTCAGAATTCAGCAGCCAATAAAGAATATTTTATGTTAGTAAAACTATTTAAATCCAAACTCAAATCTAGAAAGCCAAAGAAAAACTTATACTTGAACTGTCTACGTTCAGTAGTCCTAAAGCTTATGGTTGCGAAACCCGGCCTGTAATAAAAGGCGATGGAGAGAAACTATTGATTTTTGACAGAAAAGTACTCAGTCTTAAAATACCGAACAAGAACGAACAAGGAAATCCATCGGCTATTTCAAAAAACGAAACATAAAAGCGTTCATAAAAAACAAACGAATACCTACAATGAGCAGAGCTTATATGGAGAGATAACGGTGTCCGCAAACAAGTAGTTATAGGTGAAATCAACGGTAGAAGACTGTGAAGCAACCCCGGGCAAAGACGGGCGGACACAAGGAAAGCATATCATGAAATGGTCGCTCAAGAAACAGATGAGTTGGAAGCGATTGAAGATATACGACGGGAAATATTTGGAACGGTGAAGCTCTCGAATGGACCGAAGGAGCTTCGAGAAGAAGAAAAAAATATAATACTAATGGCTAATACTCGGAATATCGGATATCGAAAAAATTCATATCGGCTCGCCGCTAATTATTCATTTGCACGCAGCAGTAGCGAATAGAAAAAAACATTCACGCGATTAACACTTTCAAGTGCCTAATTAATGTGGTACGTCGAGTACCTGTTGGGATTGGCACACGTGTGTATAACGGGCGTGTACGGTGCATTAAATCTGAAAACACCCGTCGTCTGGAGATTTCTACGTTTTACGATTTTTTTTTTTTTTTTTTTTTTT